AATTTTAAAATTAATTCTAGGAGTTTTTTGGTGGAAGGGTTTTGGGTCTTCCATGTAGAGTATCATGCCATGTGTGAATAAGGATATTTTCAGTTCTTCATTTCATGTTATTATTTATTTTTATTTCTTGTCTCATGACTCTAGCTAATGTTTCCAGAAGTATATTGAATATTGAATATTGAATAGGAGTGGTGATAGTAAACATCAATGTCTTTTACCTTGTTTAAGAGTGAAAGTTTTCAGCTTCTGAACTTTAGAATGACATTGTTTGTTGCTTTGTCATAAATGCCTTTCATCAGGTTGAGGAAAAGTCTATCTATTCTGATTTTCTATAGTGTTTTCTGCATGAATGAGTTTTGGACTTTGTCAAAATCTTATGCCTTTTTTATTTGGAATTGGATTGGTTTGGCTCTTTTCTTTCTTTTTGTGGTTTTATTAATTTTTCATAAGGTTTTTAAAATTTTCTTTATTCTTAAGAAGAATCAAAGCTTTAATTTCTTCTTTCTATTTTGGTGTGTCTGTCCTCAACTTTATTGATTTCTGCTATGATCTCTTTTCTCTGTTGGATATAGGTCTCTATTCAGTAGTTTAAGTGGGTTGGTGGATTTAATGTTGACAATTGTGGAGTCTGGTGTCTTCCTTCATCCCCTGGGTGTTTTACTTATATAGGATGGGTTTGTTAGTTTTTTTAATGTAGTCATTTATTTATTTATTTATTTATTTATTTATGTGTGCGTGTGTGTGTGTGTGTGTGTGTGTGGCAAGCTCAGCCCACCAGGGGGCGGGGCTGGCTGGCATGCCATGCTGGGGGATTGAACTGTGGTCCCTGTGCTTTGCTAAGCTTGTTCTAAATAGGCGCTTTAGACCACTGAGCCATCTCACCAGCCCCATCACAGTTTGTTAGTTTTTGCCTCTGCTAATCTTACCCATAGTTCACTAGGAGCAGGACACTACTCATCTCTTTCAGGTATGCTCTTTCACTTGAGTGATGCAGTGCTGTACCAGGTATGGTCTTTCAGAGGGAGGCAACACTGATGTGAATCTAATCTCATTTGGAGAGGGATTTCAAACCTGGTCTGCACTCTCATGTGTGAATAGATTTGATCCATCATGTTTTAATTTTCTTAATGTTGAAAGTAAAACACATGAAAATTCCAAAAACATTTTTTCAAGACTAACTTATAAAAGAGTAAATACAGAGAGGATAAACCACAGGGAAGATAAAGCAATGAACTGGGCATGGGATGAGCAAAAACAGAACTAAAGCAGGGGCTGATGGGTGATGCTGTGACATCATCCCAGATCTCACAGCATCTGAGCCTTTGGGTAAAACACACAGGCATGTGAACAAGTGTGCATGTATGAGAGAAATAAAAATAAAAAAGAAACTGAAAATTCATAGAAACATGCAACAAATCAGTACAGAACACTAATTAAAGGTCAAAGAAGAGGGACCTGATACTAGCAAAAGTTAATTGCTACATTCCCCTGTGTGTAATATCACAGGTTAGAAGTACAAATGAAGAGACAGAGAGTGACAGCTCTTACAGAAATTGTAAGACACACTTTAGATTTTGGACAGACTGGACAGAGATCCCAAATACTGGGGTCTGTCACAGATGCCATCCATTTAGGAAGGACAACCTCAGCAAAACCATGCAGGTCAGAAAGTGTATAGGTCTCAGAGTCCATTTCCTGGAAGTTTCAGAATTGGCTGGTGGGAGACTTGCCCTGGAGGATTCATTAAAATTCACTTTCCAGGAACAGCATTTTCTTTGATGTCACTTGAGGACATGAGACTGTGAAATGTCCCCTAGGACAAGACTAGAGCACACAGTTGCCCCAGAGATGATGAGGTTAGTCCCTGGTGGTTGCCCTTTGAGTAGCTCCTCCAATACCACTTTCCCCAAAGTCCTGCTATGTTCATCTTTATTATGGACCCCAACAGGAGAACAATATAGGGAAATCTGAGTAAACCAAACCCAAACCCCATAGAATGACTCCACAGCTATGAAGCACTTCCTCACAAGGACAGTAATGATAGAATTTCTGGGGTACGAGTATCTTACTTTCTTAGGATCCTGCCCTAGTTTCTCACAGCATCCATTTCTTTTGCCCACATGAACATGCAATATGAGTGTGATTGCCTCCTAATCAAATCTTCAGTTCACCTTTGATCCCAGCTGCATTGATACACCTTCCTATACCCTATCCTTCCATGATAACCTCTATTCCTTACTTCAATGTTCTGGACCTTTACATTCCTGAAATTAATCCCAGGGCAGTTGGTGTGGTCCGGAAACTCTGCTATTTTCTTTTGGAGGTAAGAACTCTGTTTCTTGGATGTATATAGCATTCATAAATCTTAAGAAAAGAGATAAAAACTTTTGACTACTCTGCTTCTTGAATCCTGTAATTTCTTGGGATTTCTTGCTCACTCCTCTCTACACTCTAGGCACTTTGAAAATAAGAATATTGTACATGCAGGGATGCTTTAATCATTGCATACCACTGGCTACACATGAATTTCTAGGATTCTTGTCTATGAATTCCTAGAGAAAGACCCAATAACTTTGTATACCTTGTTCCTTGGAGTTTATTAGTCTGATATGGACCCCAAAGTGATTAATCTTAAAAGATGACTACCTAATATTGTGTGAAATTCCTCTTCTCAACATGCCTGCATAATACTAAAAATGCCACAAAAATCCAATAGAAGACAATAAAAATTAATTTAGAACACATAAAAAAGAAAAATAAGCTTACAATATTTTAGCATTATCCTCTTAAGTGTCTAAAATATCGCATGAAATGACACCATACTCTTCCGTCAATCTCAGCCTCTTTTGACTGTTTGTGCTTTAGCTTTCAGAAACCACCAAAACTTTTTATTTGGCCTTGAGTGTTTTTTTCTGTTCTCTCTCTGTAGAGGGCCATGGAGGGGAGAAACTAGCAAATGGAATCAGGGGTACATGAAAGGCTTAAATCTGAGGCACGTGGCAGGTAGGTAGGCTGTAGAATCCTCATTATACCGCCTCACACTTCTTTGCATTGTTATCTGAATTTGAGTGCAGACATCTGAAGGAATATTCCCAGCTCATCATTTTCCTCTCTTAATTTGTCTATGCACTTGAATTTTAGCCAATGAAGCTAAAGCTTTCCTGATACTATAAAGAAACACTTAGAATTGCTTTTGAATATGCCTTTTATTTCTCAATAGGCAAAGAAGCTATTCTGATCAATGTTTCTTATATTAAAATTATAACTTTATTTGGTTATTCAAATTCAGATTGAATTACAGCTTAAAAAAAGAAAAATCTGATTTTATACCAATTATAAGACATCATTTTAAAAATGTGTTTCTCTTGATGGATCATTTCCCATAATCCATTGTGGGAGAAATGTTGGAAAGACATCGTTGTACTGTACTGTTTTGTTATCTTCTCAGTGTCCTAAAATTTTCAATGCTGTCACTTTTCTTTTTTCTATATTCACTTATGAAATTCCTGTTCATCCTCAGCCTGTAGCTTACATAAAACACTTCCCCTGATAGTTCACTCTATATGGCTGCACAGTATGTCATATTTTCCTTCACACACTCACCATCACCATTGGGTGATGTGCTTGTGTGATTAGTTTTTCACACTTATACAATTAGCCATTTATCAAGTGTGATACAGTATAGGTCCTTAATATTTAGTGAGTGAAAGAAAGGAAATACATTATATATACCTTTCAATATTGGGTTTTACATTTCAGCCTATTAAAAGTCTTGTCTCTGAGATAACCTGGGTGGTGGCATAAACAAATGATAGAAGGAATAGGTGGGGATAGTAGGAAGGAAAGAGGAACAATTTGGTCATGAATTATCTTCACTTCCAGAAGTCTTTGATCCAAGTGTGAAAGACCTGATTTTGCAAGGACAAGCTAAGAGGCTATTCCCATACATATTCTACACATTCCATATCATTTGCTCCTCAATCTCTTTCCCATATAATGGGTTTGGGAGTCAGTAGGACAATAACTTACCTCATTTTTCTAGAATTTTTAAGACACGGTGGGGACCTCTTTTGCCTGCTTAGACTGTTGATGAAAATCTTGAGTAATGATTCTAATATGGCTTTGACCTTATCATAAAATGTCTCTTTTTCATAAATCACCTTTTATGAATTATTCTAAGTAAATGACTTCCATGAGTAAAAAAATCTCATCATTTTTCCTTTTATTCTTGCATCTTCTTTAGTAAAATTCTTACCATTAACTTAAAAATATAAACACTTTTACCTTCAGATCTATATCATCTCAACCACTGAATCAACCCAGAATTTTCCTTATCCCCAGAAGACTAACAGTCCACACATCATGAAGGTGAGGATTACAGAGTTACATAAGAGATCAAGTGGTCCAAGAGCCCAGAGATTCATCTATTGAGGGAATTATTGAATAAACTCTAAGACCATAAAGTAAAGGAAAATCATCTGGTCAGGGTGAGAAATTGGCAAAGTGCTTTTATGAATAAAATATTAAAAATTCAACTGTTATTCCAAGTAGCTTTTAAGAGCAAAAGCCGCACACATTTTAATCAAATGCCCAGCGTGTCTGATTATTATGATGAAAATGTTGTTTTCCTATATTTAAAAGAGTTTATAGGGCTTATTCTCCTAAATTATGTAAATAATATTTTTTTTGCTACCAGGAATCAAACTCAGAACCTCATGCTTGACAGGCAGATGCAGTGCTGCTGAACTAAGTTTCCAGCCCAATAAGAAAGTTTTAATTTTCAGTTCACATCTGCTTAGCTGTTGACTCATCACATTTAATAAAATTTTGAGAAATTCACAAAGCAGTGGGAAACTTTAACTGAATGCATGAAAACTAATGCACTAGATTTCTGTTGTCCACCTACCAGTATCCTAGAACAATCCAACCTATATTGTGCTTTTTAGAAGAAATTATACTGACAAACCATCTGGTTCTAGACAAATAAGAAACCATACAGAATGCAGCTCTTCAATTCCACCTTAGGAAGTGGCTTCATCTTGGTGGGGATCCTGAGTCACAGTGAATCTCCTGAACTTCTCTGTGCCACAATTGCAGCCCTGTACACATTGGCCCTGATCAGCAATGGTCTGCTGCTCCTGGTTATCACAATGGATGTACGGCTCCACATGCCCATGTACCTCCTGCTTGGGCAGCTCTCGCTTATGGACCTCCTGTTCACATCAGTTGTCACTCCTAAGGCCCTCATGGATTTTCTGTACAGAGAAAACAGCATTTCCTTTGGAGGTTGTGCCCTGCAGATGTTTCTGGCACTGACACTGGGTGGTGCAGAAGACCTCCTATTGGCCTTCATGGCCTATGACAGGTATGTGGCCATTTGTCATCCTTTGAACTACATGGTCTTCATGAGGCCTAGAGTCTGCTGGTTCATGGTGGCCTCATCCTGGATTCTGGCATCCCTTAATGCCTTAGGACACACAGTGTACACCATGCATTATCCTTTTTGTATGTCCCGGGAAATCAGACATCTTTTCTGTGAGATTCCAAACTTGCTGAAGCTGGCCTGTGCAGATACCTCCAGATATGAGCTCATGGTCTATGTGACAGGTGTAACTTTCCTCTTGCTCCCTCTTTCTACAATTATTGCTTCCTACATTCTGATCCTATTCACTGTGCTCCAGATACCCTCAAAGGAGGGGAGGAAGAAAGCACTTTTCACCTGCTCCTCCCACCTGACTGTGGTAGGGATGTATTATGGGGCAGCTACACTCATGTACGTCCTACCCAGTTCCTTCCACAATCCCAAGCAGGATAACATCACCTCTGCTTTTTACACAGTTGTCACCCCAGCCCTGAACCCCCTCATTTACAGCCTGAGGAATAAGGAAGTCATAGGGGCTTTGAGGAGGATCCTAGGAAAATATAAGGTGCAAACCCAACCTATTCTCTACTTAGACCTCCAAAATTAAGCCCTGTTCAATGTCAAAAGATTCTGTTATATATCAAGTTCTTATTGCAAAACTACTGCAGTGGAAAATGTGTATTTCAGGTTTTTTTGGCGGAACCGGGGATTGAACTCAGGCCCTTGCGCTTGCCAGGGAAGTGCATATTCCACTGAGCCATCTCTCCGGCCCGAAAATGTGTCTTTTAATACAGAAGTGCAGAAATATAAATATGTTCATCAAATACTCTTTCAATCTTCTGTTTTATAGAATGTGGTTTATACTGTTTAACATTACTATTCACT